AAACACATATTATTTTAGTTAAAAATAACTTGATAAGATCGGAAACGCTGTTAGAAAATACTTGATCATTATTTAAAAAAATAATAATACTGGTTTACAAGTACAATTACAGGTTAATAAAATAAACACTATATAGTACATACCAATTTCGTTTAATATTTCTTCCAACATAGAAGGTGGAAACATATCATCTACCATTGCTGTGTTAAACAATAATATCCATAATTTTGATTCTATATGTCCATATCTCCTACAACATTCTATAGCACCATTGTAATCATATAGAGTCAAGTAATAGCGAATTAACTTAGAGTATCTGAAAAGAAAAATTTTAGTGGTTATAATGTTAATATATTATAAATTAATTAAAATTAAAAATCAAATATTTTTGAGTTTTTATACTAAACTGTTTGTTATGTTCAAAAATGTAGACTATGGCTGGCTTAAATTCAAAAGACGTAGCCAAGATTAACACTTGATAATGGTCACATGTCTTAATATCAGTAGATTGTAGAATATTAACAATTTTCTTTTCAATTGTGCTACGTTTCTCTTGATTGTTTTCATTTTTCCACACAATCAAGCAATGTTCGATGTATGTATTCAGTAGTGATGTAGACCATTTATCTAAAAACTTAAATAAATACATTAATTAAATCATCCTGACTTCCATTAAATATTAGTTATTACTTTTTAAATAACTTACATTATCAAAATATTCCAAAAAATCCACTAAACATTCAGAGTCATCAAGCAACAAATAAATAAAATCTTCAGGGTGAGCTAAATTTCCAGACAGGTCTACCTTAAAAAATGATAATTCAATTTATATTTAATACAAACTTATTATCTTAGAATAAATAAAGTATTTACATTGGTTGTAGTATAACAGGTGGAACATAATTTCTTCAAAAAACTGACTGTGTCTTTAGGAACATTCTCCATGAATACATTACTATATTGTTTAATTGTTTGCACTGACTGAAATATCAAGAATTATATTAATTGCCATCAGTAGTTACTTAATATAAAAGTAACAATATGGTACCTGTTCAATGGAAAGCTTTTCAATATATTCTAAAGCAGATGTATATTCATGACGATCTTCCAGAAGTATTTTTATGTACAACGAATGTCGATTGTGTTTTTCAGCTAATGCAAGTGCATTTTCAGGTGATGACTGTCTACAAACTTTTATTGCCACATCCACATCAAAATCAATGTTTTCGTCTTTTATCTATAACAAACACAAATTAAAGTTATTAAATTTAACATCTTACTTTTACTGTTCAAAAGTGTTATAATTACTACAATAAATTCTTGAAGTTTGTCTAGACTGTTTAATTTTGAATAGCAGTTGAACAACAATGTTGTATGGTCTTTAGTTGCATTGCCTGATTTATGTAAAGCATGCAAATATGTGGTTAAGCTGTCTATATATTGAGAATCCAAAAACTAAAAAAATAAAGTGCATTTATATTCAGTTTAAATTTTTGTATAGTTTTCATATTAAAATATTTACTTTTTTAATGACATAAGATGGTTCAAGTTTTCCAATTGTTTTTATATATTGTTCTACAGCACCACTGTGATCCCCTTTGGTATACAAATGGTCACCATATTGACGAAATATATCAATCAGAGCTTGAGAATCATATTGCTGACACTTGGCCATACGTACTGCAACATCGTACAAGTTTTTCTTAAATAATACAGTCAATTTTGATTGTAGATCTTTTTCTATCAACTGTGATAAACATCCTTTGGAGGTTAAAATATACAATGATCCCCACTCTGGTAAAACTGATAAAATGTCTTGCATGGTAGTAGTATAAATTATAAACTTATTTTGAATATCTAACACAGTTATTGAAATAGACTCAATTTCATCACTGAAAAAATAATTTAAAATAACAGTAAATCAAAAGCTATAAATAAGGGAAGTTGTTAAATAAATCTTACGAATGTTTTGTTGTAGTAGAGACAGTAATAGCATTTAAGGGTTTTCCTCTTTCTCTGGATACTATAATTAAATAATTTCGAAACCATTGAAGAATAATTTTTTGACCTCCAACAACATAGCAAGGTCCACGACTGTCAACCGTGTAACAATAAATGGCCTAAAATAAAAATAAAAAAACTGCAACCTAGAATACAAAGATTTTATAATGTATATCTTTTAAAGACTTACATCTTCTTTTGCAATCATAAAATGACTATCAGGTCCATTCACTAACACCGAACACTTGAAATCACATCCAACTGCATCTAAAACAGTCTACAACAAAGCATTTAAAAATGTTAATCTCTCAACGTCACATAAAATATAATAAGAGTAATAATTACTAATAAATATACCATAGGACAATAATCTTTGGAAGTAACATTAAATTGTTGCACAGATGAGGCAGTAGACACAAAAAGGTACCATTGATCTTTGCTAACACATTTAAATGCCATTCCAGTTATTCCTTGACCCAACTCTTTTAACATCTTAGGCTTAGAATTCCGATCTCTAGACAAATCTCCTTTAAACAGAGCTATACATCCATCTACAAATCCAACAGCCATCAACAAACGATTGTCAGTTGCACATAATGTAGTAGGTTTTTCACATTTTGGTAATTTTGTAGAACGTATACATATTGGAGTGCTTTGACGATCTCTTCGTTCTAAATCCCAAACTTTGAGAATGGTATTAGTATCGGGTTCATCTTCCTAAATGTAAAAGTTTATGTATAAAATAAATAATATAAATAATATTATAACATATAAAAAATACTTACCCCAATTGTAACTAGAAAACTACTATACTGTAGTTGTGTAGAAAGAAGAACGACAGACTGATAGGCTCGAAATGAAGTGACTTGAAATGTACGTGTAATTAAATGCACTAGACCATCATCGTCACATGTTACCAAGTGACCATGTCCACTACTTGTTGAAGTTATTTTAGAGCTCTAAATAAATGAAACAAAGCATTAGACATTCATAATTTTAGAAATTTTAAAAAGGAAAGATTTGTAGATTCTTTTAAATATAGAATTTATCAGCACTTCAACATTTTAAATTTAATTATGTTTAAATTTAGAGGTGAACAAGAAAGTTCCTAAATTAATCAATCAAAAAATTGTACTTTCTTTTATTGTCACTTAATACCTCGCTTAATACTTATTCAATTTTAATAATTTTAGGTAGTCTCTAAACAGATTTTAAATGGACACTAATAGAACATACATGAGTTAATACATTATTTTCTTATAATTTTTGAGATATGTTTTATTCTTCTTGAAAAACATTAGAATAGTAGTAAAGACATTTAAACAAAAAAAAAGCTAACTAAATTTTGATATTCACATTTTGAGAAATTGAGCTATCCACAGAATCATTTCAATGAATTATTAAGATTATTGAATTCTGAGTTTAGATTAATAATAGATATAATAGAATTCTATGATCTATGAGATAAATGCAAATATTATACTTTCTTCAAGAGTGAACAAATTCCAGTATCAGCTGTTATTAACAATTTAAAAATAATTTTAATGCCATAATAAAATAAAAAGAGTATTATTTAAAAGCCCTGCAAAAACTATAGTTCAAAATTATAAGATTTTATTTTTTCATAAAATTTGATGGAGAAATACAGTAAGACATTAACAAAATTACGTACGCCAATAGTCTGGGATATTTTTTTTGAATCTGCATTGTGAATGATGTCGAAGAAATTGAATTTTCGCCACTAGAACATAATAACAAAAAATAAAAGGGGTGAATACATTTTTTGGAATGGCATTATTGCAGTCCTGACCACTGATCAGATAATGTATTTTGGTTTATTTATTTTAATAAAAAGCACCATGGATATCAAATTCAAAACAAAAAAATTTAAACTCACTTCTAAAAAAGACATGATGATTTTTTTTACTTGAGCATTAGGAAAAATATCAGACGAAAATTTAGACTTGGAAGGACTTAATATGATTGATACAAATATCAAAATATATTATAATAATCATAACATAACAACTAGAGCAACTACAAGTCAGAAAGAATACAAAAGGTAGAAGTTAAAACTTAAAAGTTCAACTAAAACGATTAAGTGGAATGAAAATCATTTGTATCGCCCATCGCAATTATGAATTATATATATATTTATATTATGGTTGGTGGACGATGGGTACTATAATACTGAACGTCAATATGAATTTGGTTATCAATTGACATCTGATAACTTATCATGGTTGTCGTAGGGCGGTGTCGGCAGCTGCTGCAGCTGCTGCAATCAGCGTGGTTTCTATTGTAGTGCAACCACAACCTGGGTGGAGGTGAAATACCGTACAATCACTTAACCAGTGACCATTAACCGCAAGCCAAGTTGACTTTTGAATTTTTGAAATAAAGCCCACTTTGAACGCGCTTGCCGCTTGCCCTACAAGTTACGACGGGCTGTCGACGGTTATCATAAACCGTAGATTTCGGAGCTTTTCAGGTGCGTCTGGTTTTTGTTTTCGAACATCTTACCGCGGAATTGGCTTCCGCCGCGAGTAATTAGTTCGGTGTCCACGGTCCGTGATTTCACAGACAGTGAATCGGGCGCCCATTTTCGCGTATTGTTGTTGTTATCGAATGTGCCTACGTATCGGACGAACGCGATTGGTCGGTGGTAAAAATTTTTTGAAAATCAAATATGGTGTTGCAACGCTCCAAAAACGCGCACTTTTTCACAATCGATGACCGTCGAACACGGACTTTACGCTCGCCGCGAACTGTTTTAGGGTGTCCTGGTATGACATCCACTTGCTGCTGACCAGCGGACAGCATCAGTTGGACCGGGGCGTGACCAACTACGAAGTCCCGATCCGTTCCCGACAGACGATCATAGAGTCCTCCGAAAGACGCGGACGACGACCAAAGGATCCTACGGGACGCGACTTCGAGGCAGCACAGATCGACTGAGCTTTCCTGATCCGTTCAGTTTCTCCGACCACAGCTCGACAATGTCTAACGCAGGTGGGTACTAACGGTGTGAACCGCTAATGACAGACATTTTTATGCTTTTAACTTTCCTCCGAACCATTTTTTCTTTCTTTTAAGTTGTTTTCATCCCGTCTCAAGCTTTCAACTGAGACGTCTTGAACGTTGTGGTTCGTCATTTAAATTCTGGTGCTTGTAAACTGTGAACCTAACTGAACCCAGTGCCTTTTTTATCTTTGTTAAAGTATTTCAACTGTATTTACCTTATATTCTATATTTTATCTTTAAATCTGATTTTAAAAATAATTGATATAATTAAATCATAAAATCATTTTTGCAAAAAGTAGAAATATCCCTTGGTAGTGTATGCAATTTAGACAATAATATCTGCAATATGTAATGGATGCTGATATTTTTAAAATTATCAATATAACAATACAAAGTCAACAAAAACAATGATAATAGTTGTATTTGTACCTAATAACTAGTTTTCTATTATACAATACTTAGCAATATTTATACTAGTTTTCACCAGTCTAAAAATTGGTTTTCATGATTGTATACTTAAGTACATATATGCTTGTTTTAATGTTAGATTTTCGATTAAAATTGTGTTAACCTAATCACTATCTTTTCAGTGTACCTACAAGGCTACAATCTACATATTGTAACAAAAACAATTTAAAAATCCATTTACTGAATTTCAAATCATTAGAGTACCTATATTATTTTTATACATTTTAAATTATCATAAATTTAACTGTATCAAATGCCTAATTTTGTATACTTCAAAATTAATTTTTTTATGTCAGTATTGAATTGTTTCGACCTCAAAATTATTCATATTTCCCTTTTTAGAATCCAGAGGTCATTCACCTTAATCAGTAATATATATATATGAGTAGGTACACAAAATTCAAATATTTAAAAATCTTTAGACATGGTTGATAAAACAAATATTTAATGAGAATAAGGATATACCTATCCAAAGTACCCATCTATTTTATTTAAAAAAGTTGTACAATTCATCTAAACTTAAATATAGGTACTTAGGTCATCAATAATGTTACTTTGTTGTATAATTTATGAAGTGTATTATATACATGTCTTGTTAACCAAAGTTAGGTACAGTAGGCATAAATATATAATATTCTTATGTTTCATGTATTCATTTTACCTCCCACAGACATAATCATCCTTTGAAACAATTTTATACCTTGCGAATAATGCTGATATTTATTTTTAATTTAGATCACAGTTTTGAAAATGCGTTTAACCCTCGGTTTAACCTATTATAATTATCATCACTTACATAATATATCTTACTCCTGTAATTATAATATATTTATATATTTCTATACTTTTTATAAAGTATCTGTTTGGAAGTAACTAAATTATATAACAAGTTTTCTTTTTTTTTTAGATTTTGATAGTCAAGACTTGAGTGGTCCAAGTGTGTTGGATGGTGATTACTTAACCATGTTAAGTTCGTCCGACAAGTTAATGTCGGGTGAATATGAAGCTATTGAGCGACTGCAGGCTGAACTAGATTTATTTGATGATCCAAATAGGACTGAAGAAGTCGTGGAACAAATGGCTGTTGAAAATCATCTAGATTTGATTGAAGAAGAAGTTTGTAGTTTTACCGAAGATGAGATAAGAATTAAAGAAGAAATAGCATTAGAAAATCTTATAAATGAAGCTAATAATCAACCTCAGTTAACTGAATCACAAATTAAGTTAGAGACTATAGATTTAGATGAAGATGAAATTGTAACTTTAAAACAATCCCAATCACATTCTCAGTCGGAGATGTTGTCTGTTGGTAGTTCAAGCGGCATAAAAAGAAGTGCACCACAAAATATGCATGGAAATCAACAACCAAAAAAACCTGTATGATAGATCTTGAATTAAAAAATATTTAAAAACATTTAGATCATTATTTTATTTTATTTTAGTTGCTCACAAAAGTAATGGTTAATACATTACCAAGTACAAGTACTGGAAGAAATACTCAGCAGATTTTATTAAACGTTCCAATTGGACAACGTCCACAATTAGGTTCAACTAGGACCATAACACTTACACAAGCTCGTCAAATGGGTTTACTTACTCCAGGTTGTCGACTCCAAACTGTAACTTCAAATTCAAGCACAACACAAAATAAAGTATGTTACAATTAATTTTTAATTTGAATTCATATTAGATGAGATATTTGTGGTGATATTCGCAATTCTCAATTTCTCTTATTTTTATCTTTGAATTTGTGTTATTTCTTAAAATATTTTCTTACTAAACCAGCATTCATTCCAAGATACTAGGAAGTCACACATACCATGTTTCTTTTTTCACTTTAGTTAAGATATATTTTATTTTTTATTATGAAATATAGAATATGGTAGTAAATAAAATTTCGGGGACAATGAAGAAAGGGTCAACTAGTACCTTGAAGTCATCTGGGCCAACCAAAATCTTGCCAGCACCAACCCTAATAACAACTAAAAGTCCAATGATGCAACAGCAAAAGATTTATATACGACAAGTAATAAAAAATAATAATTAACAATTATTTTAATACATCAATATATTTTTTAGAATTAAAAAAGTACTAGATTTTGAAAAAAATTTTGAGCAGATATTTTTTATTGATTACTTACCTTGACTCTACTGTTCTGTTGATAAAAATTTTTTATTGTTGAATTTTTTGTATTGAAAAAAGTGTTTTAATGTACATTTTAACATTCTAGTACTCGTACAATTTAAAATACTTTAACAATTCCGAGTACTTAACTTAATTCAAATTAAAAAAGCAATACTTACCCAACTCTAATAATTTTACATTTATTTATACTTTTAGGGTAGTGTTTTCAAGCAAGGCACACTAGTGTCAACTAGCAATGGTACAAATCAGGTTATAAGATTACCATCTATTGTTAGCCAGTCATCATCACCAGCATCAACTATTCAACATATACGACTACCAACAGTTAATGCTTCAACTGTTGCAGGTCTACAACAAGTTAGAATGCCAGTAGTAAGCTCTGGAATACAACAAGTGCTACCCAATAAACAAGTAATACCAATCAGCAACAGTTTATTGTTATTATAATAAAACTGTATTTTTAATTGTATTAGGTTCAATACATAAGACTAGTACCCACAACAGCCACAAGTAGTTTAGGTTCTTCTACTGTATCTGTTGTAACTACAACAACAGCTACAGCACTTCCAAAGCAACCTCAAATAGTCACATTATCAACTTCTACACCAAAATCAAACGTTAAAACTACAACTGTTGCTAAGACTTCCACATCCAGCAATCAACAGCCAGTTACAAATCAGATAAAAGTTTTTACTTCTTCCTCACATGTATGATATTCAATTATTTATTATTTTTAATTATTACATTTTAATAATATTAAATTTCTATAGACTGTGACATCTAGTCAACAAAGACCAATATTACCTGCGAGTAAACCTAGTACTAGTGCATCAGTAGAATCAAAAAAACCTAGTAGTTCTAGTATTCCATCAATAAACTCAACAAGTTCTAAACAAGTATGTTTAAACAAATAATATTATTATGACTTTTTCTAACATTGTGTTTTTAAATAATTTAGGTTTCGACTCCCTCCAAAGTCATCATTAAAGAAGAATTTATTGATGATAGTTATCCTGTAAGAAAAGAAGATAAAAAAGAAACAAACTTGACTACCCCAACTTTACCAAAGATTGGGAGACCATCAACTTCTACCCCACTTGTGGTATCCGAAGCAAAACCTAAATCAACGAGTGATGTGAATAAAACAAAAAAGCCTTGTAACTGCACTAGATCACAATGCCTTAAACTGTATGTTAAATTCCTTTAGATTTTTTTAGCATTGTTACTGACAGATTATTGTATATTATTATAGTTACTGTGATTGCTTTGCCAATGGTGAATTCTGTTACCAGTGTAACTGTAATTCATGTTACAACAACATGGAACATGAAGAGGATCGAGCACAGGCAATTCGCTCAGTATTAGATAGAAATCCAAATGCATTTAGACCAAAAATCAAAAGCTTTGTTGGTCAAGCCGAACGACAGCATACCAAAGGATGTAATTGTAAGAGATCAGGATGTTTGAAAAATTATTGTGAATGCTTTGAAGCTCGTATAGCATGTTCACAAAACTGTAAATGTATTGGATGTCGTAATATGGAGGACGACTCTCATACCTCATTTGGAGACCATCCTGGATCTCTAAGTGTTGAAAATTTAAAATCTAGAGCAAAATCGGCTAATTTTGTAACATCATTTGGTAGCATGCAAGCTGCAAATGCTATACCAAGGTAAAAAATGTTATACGACTATTGATACACTATGTACACATTTAATTTAGAAGTGTTGCAATTAATTATTTTTGGGTACTTGACATCACTTTGAAACCATTTTCTTATTTTTCAGTCAACCATTCAAATTTTTTACTAATGACGTAGTACAAGCAACATGCCGGTGCCTTTTAGCTCGTGGCATGGAAGCTAAGAAGCTAAACGCTGGTGCTGAGGAATGCCAACGTATAATAATCGAAGAGTTTGGACAATGTCTTGTAAAAATCATGGACTTGGCGTCTGAAAAATCTTTTTTATAGTCAAATAAAATTATTTAAATTATATATGTATAGTCTACCTTAATTTTAAATTGAATTTAGTTTGTGTATGATTGCTCGCTTATTATTTTAATTATATTGTTTGTTTTGTGTTGGAGAATTTTGTACATAATTTTTTATGTATACATACATATTTTTTTTTAAGTCATGTGCATAAGGTATTCAAATGTTTTTATTTTCAAATTTTATTGACGTGTGTGTAAAACAAATTTAATATATTTATTACAAATTTAACATTAAAAAGCCTTTTTGTTTTTGGCGACTAAATGTTTGGCCTTTTCCTTCACATTTCCGTCTCTGAATATTTCATTTTCTGGTTTAACGCGGAATGGTGCAAGTAGTTCCTTTGTCTTTTTTGCTTTACGTTGAATTTTATTATTGGTATACTTATCTTTCTTATTGTCCTTCAATAAACGTCTTGTCTATAAAAATATATAAAAATAGTTTTTATACCCATTAATGATATTTATAATTTATCTTTAAAAAATACCTTTGCTGGAGTAACATAAAATGGATTTTCCCAAAGAGTTTCACCGCAGAAACTCCCTTTAAAAATGCGGATCGGTTGCAAAACAAATCTTGGTCCTACAACAAAGTTAAAATAAATAAATTTAAGTTTAGAATTTTAACTTTAAATCGATTGTTTAAAAACTTAAATTTTCTATACCAATTTCAGCTATTGCACCATTTTCGTCCAATATTTGATAGTTCCTAAACCATATTCTATTATCCAATACAGAGAAGTTCAAAACATTGTCAACAAACGGTTGACTTTTAGGATGGTGGTCTGGCACACCAAATATTTGTACGAACATTTCTCGTAACAAAGAGTATTGTGGATGCTCATCAAATGAATTGTCAAAAGAAAGCAGTGGCCGTGATCCTTTTAGGCAATTGCCAGTTAGTTTCAGTTCAGCACTTGTAAATACTAAAATTACAAATAATTAGTTTAATAAATGTTGTTAAAATTTGTACCATATTCAATTTAGGTACTTACTACTTTCCACATTAAACTTAATACTAGGCCCATCTGGCGAATTTGAAAACCACATGTACAAATCTCTTTGAAGTCTGCCATCAAATAAAATGCATTTGTTACAGTGAGACATTTTACACATCTATCAAAAAGTAAATGTCATTAATAAATAAAAAACGCTAATCATAAATATAAAGTAACAAAGAATTGTTAAAAAAAATTCAATTATTAAACATACTTCGTTGACCACAAACAAATTTTCTTTACGCTCCATCTTGTTTGCCGATTTTGCATGAGGCAACAGTTTGATAATATCTTTCATCAAATGGCGATGTTGGAAACTAATCCCACGAGTACCAAACACCAAAATTCGTTCTCTGTTTATCCATTTGGCCTAAAATCAAAAAAAATTAAAATAGTACCAAATATATAAGTCGTAATTGTTTGTATTAGATAATGTTTTGCCGTAACACAGCCACAGATGGTGAAATATTTATCATCTGACCATTTGAGAAATCAAATAATAAAGCACCTAGGTACTTAATATTTTTATACAGTGAAATCTTCAATAGTGGACACCTTTTATTGGGGATGTTTTTTGGTAACAAACTAAAAAATGTCTACTAACTGGACCCTTTAAGTACCTTCAATTAGGGGACAAAATTTCAATGACCGAGAGGTTAGTTATTTACTGGTTTCACTGAAGTATGATGATAAAAATAAACTTATAAGTATTAATGGAAGATGTCAGTTGACTTTTTAATACCTACTTCTATCATTTTAGCAAAACCAATCGCTCCATTACTCATTAGTAATGATTAATTTTGTGCAAAAACTCCTAACTAACCATATTATATCTTCTTAAATACTGTTAAATGTCAATATCTTAAATGGTTAAAAATTAAATTATGTGAGAAACATGTAGTGTTATTAATAACTTCAATTGGTTAAAAATATATTTTTCAAACTAGGTACTTGCACTTTGTAATGCCTTTTTTTTTATGTGGTATTGCAACTGAGAGGGAACTGCATAAGCATTACTCCCCTTATTAGCATTAAACCACAGTGAGTTACTTCCCCTTATTTGAACAATTTGGCTAAAAAATGGAAAATACAAAGTGGGGTTTTGTTATAATAGGTATATGATGATATTGCGCTGAAAGTGTCCTCATAAAGAATACATTTCGGCCAACTATGACTCCCTAATTTGTAAGACTAAACACATTAGACACATACTATATACCTATTATGCATTTTTCATACACACTCTAAAGAAAAATATGAAGAGAATACCATAGCTGCATATTTGTAAGACGACCAAATATTCAACATACTAAATTCGTTTTCAGCAGTTTCAATTTTTAAAAATGTTCATAATTTCATAATGAGAAGTAATTGATGTACAATCAAACTTAAGAGTATGAAAATTACCAACATTTTCATACAGGTTTTATTATATTTTAAGCAAGTTAAGAGAATTTTTTATTTTAATACATTACTTAGGTACTCAAAACTTGCTTAAAATTAAAATATTGTGAAAAACCTATGTTGAAACACTTGATACAATTTTTACCTTTAAGTTTGATAATAGGTAAAATTCACACTTTTATTAAAGGTTACAACACAAAATTGGAACTAGGTACTGATTACAAAATTTGCTGTCATACTTTGTAAGAGGAAGACACAACACACGGTTGTCCACCAAAACAGACAAGATGGGAGTTGGAGGTTGTTCTTTCGCAAATTCGATCGTTTTGTAAGCACTATTGCTGTACGAACATAGCACGAACAGTACGTAGAGGTCTGCGCGTCTACGTAAACAGAGAATAAATAGGTGTAAAATTTAAAGAATCATACCTTTTTAGTGACTGGTTCGTCCGAGCGTCGGACGAGAGGCAAAATCACCTTCGATTCATCTTCTTTCTTTACCACTTCTGTTTTTTGCTTCCTCTTCAAACCTTTCTTCGCCATTTTCAAGAAAATTCAACAACACGTGCGCTGTGTATTCGTTTGTCTGGTCTTCTCACGGTTTCGGATAAGTGATAACAGCCTATAATATTCGGATATCACGAGATAACGGATCGTCCGCCCGCTCTGAGTACCAACGTAACTGAACCGGCACATGCTTTTAGAGCTGTAGTAGCTGGAGCAAAATATAATGTTATATTTTATGCGATTTAGCTAATTTATTATTATTTTAAATAATTGGCAATGTCGCATCGATTACGTACACGAAAGCACGGGACAAAAGTACCGACTTCCGAGTGCAAATTTGAAGTTATAAATTATAATATCATCCGTCCGAATGTTTCGAACATTTCGTTTTCGCTTCTTCCATAGCAAAAACTTCCTTCAAGAATATATACAGAAGATTCTTCTCAACATCGTGTCTCTGATGATCTTTTAAACTTCGAAACAATTGAAACCATAACCACTGATTATTGGTATGTAATTGTTGTGTAGTAATATTAATTCACCTGTCCTGTTCAATATTCCTTCTTCGTCAGTCTAATTACTGTTGAACGTTGGACCGTTGGTCACGCCAGGTGATAGAGTGAATCGTCAAAGCCACGATTAAGACCTTAGGCTCAAGTCTTTAAATATCTAATATGTATATTTAATCGTGGTCGAAGCTGGCGTTGCTCAACGTTTATAGATTATAATCATGGCCGATATCTTAACAAGCTATTAACAATAAACCTTGGACACTTGGGCAGAAATCCGTTGAAAACATTGGGGGTTACCATTTTTCTAATAAACCTTAATTGTTGGGGACTTTTCCCCGTCACAATAACTATTGGAATTTTGGGCTTGCCCTCCCTCCCCTCCCCCCCCCCCCGATTTCCACCTATGGTAGGACGCGGTACGTAGAACAGTTAGCCGGCTCTAAACAAACACTTTGAAATGTATTTAACTTATTTGTCTATCGTTAAAGCTTTAATGCATTTGGTCTGAGTCTCGACTTCTCAACCCTTACAGTCACTCCGCTCAGGTAGATACCAATTACTTTAAATTAAAGTATTCATTGATATTCATAAATAATTTTAAATTTTTGTCGATACCCTCGACCCTCGAGGCCTCAACATCTAACTCTAAGTCGGTCCGTCACCGTTCGCACGCCTTTTCTGGAACTCGTCTTAATATCTAACGTCCACTTCTTTTCGTGCAGAAATCTTGAACAGTTAGCCACAGTGCCATAGCTAGGGCCTAAGGGGCATGAGGTCTTGAGCCCCCCTCCTCTGAAATATCGGACTTACTATACCCGGTAAGACCCTGGCCCTAGAAATAAAATATTTTAGCCCTCCTTGAAAAAAATCCTGGCTATGGTACTGGTGAGTAGTGAGCCACGTACCGACCGACGGCGACAATTTTTAACCGAACGAAATTGTAACTTCACACGTCAAAAATAAAACTTAATATGATCATAAAAAAGTGTTATTTAATTATGATTTCTGTCGAATATACTAATATCTGGGAACGTCAGTGGAATTACTTCCATGTTCTATATAATACAGCGCTCGCGTCCACCACATTGGTTTCCCTTTACATTTATCATATTTTGTTAATTATTTTATAAATATGAAAATGATCGATACATATTATATTTGAAAGCGAAAAAGTGCATGCATTTTATTGTTTGGTTTAATCGCAGACGTTTGATTTATAATAATAATAAAAATACACAATTTATATATTAAACAGATTTTAACGCTCGTGCTCAGATAGATCAAGTATGTATAGTGTATACGCATTGACGTGCGCGGTGCGCAGGATTTTTTCGCGGGGTGTGTAGAATAATATTAATAGGAATAACATCAATTCCTCAACTTTAGTTTTAGTTTAAAGTTTGTATGAAAAAATATATTATGTTTAACATTTTAGACCCTAAATAGAGTTATGAATGGATAAGAGCTATTGATTTTACAATAGATATTATTTTTTATTTTGTGTATTAATAGTCACCGTCTATTGGAAAAAATGCTACAGCATACCTAACCTTGTATAGTTTGTACCTTCTTAAGTGGGTAAAAAGTAAACATTTTTAAAAGTATTTAGGGAAACCAAAAAAAAATAAATTTAAATTT